ATGTTAAGCACACAGAATGCTTTAAAGAGTACAGTACGTTGTCTTTGATTGACAGGCATATATTCAATCAGTTTAAAGCTCTTATCATTAGCTAAGAGACGAGAAAAGCACAAGCGTCTAACTAGAAAGCCAGAACTGTGTTCGGAATTGCTGGCATTTAAGATTATCGTTTCTGCTTATTTTATTGCAGAATAAAAAGCATATATTTACTTTGTTTGTTCATTTCACGGCAATAGAAGATTTACCCATCTGTGTTTGTGCTTGTGTCAGGCATGCACACACCGCTCTCACTGCTGAATGTCATGATCGCTGGTTGTCTTTTTAAGATAGCTTTTATTGCTTTTTGGTTTTATTGGATGTCGTTGAGACGGAGAGAAGAGAGATACCTTGCTATCGAGGGAATATGGTATACCATTTGGCCACCGCTGAACTCAGTACATGGTTCAATGAAATGTGGAATGTGCCCAGCCTATCCCCAACAGATTGACCTACAAGGAACTACCTCCTATTAAAAATAAATCGTTATGAAAAAAGTGAAATCATGGTTATGAAAGGTTAAATTAATGAACATGTCCTAATATCAAACTATTCCTCCCCTTTTTTTACTGATTTCTTAATTTAGTGTTTCGGAAGAAGTTGGAAAATATACATATTCTTTCTTGTGTTTTCTTCATTGCTCAAATGTTTTCCTTTTAGTATGCTACTATTATTCTACTAAATAAATGAGACTTAGAATCGAGGAGGCACTTTACTGACCATAAATCAAAGTTAGTTCTCTCACCATTTCCTTGAAGATTCTTCGTCCCCCACTTTGCTGTATTTTATATTATATCTACTCTCTTATTTGTATTTTTATAAAACACATTTCTTGTCACATAACAAACATGCTTTCCTTAATAATTTAGACGCAGATTTTATAGTAATTTTTACCTGTGTGTGCTCATCAATTCAAAATCTAAATCTAAATCTAACAAAGAGTTGACAAGGTAACACGCAATGTTCCCCTTTCACAGAGAGAGGGATGCAGTGATGTTAGAGGAGTCGTATTTATTCAGGATAGTAAACTGTCTCTTGGACTTAGAGAGATAATGCAGTGTTTAGCCTGAGAGCCGGTGCCCTGTGAGGTTGTGGTGCCTTCAATTATTCACAGAAAGAAAACATCCTCGAGATAAGATTTCCCTGCAATGCAGATGTATGCCATTGACCATCACGATACTGAGATACTTTAAGCTGGAGAGGAAACAAAGAGCAATGGCTATCAGATGGCATGGTTCACCAACAGGTGCATTATTGCATTTTTTTCTGGTGTTATTATATTAATTGTCATATATCATTTGAAGAAAAGGCCTGCTGTCAACAACTATGCAAGCTTAAGAAATCATTAGATGAGAGCAGAAACAGGTTGTGAGATGCAGATGGACGGTTCTCCTGTTCAGCACTTGTGTGTTCTGCTGACCTCCTCATCGTGCCCCTAAAGTGAGGTTTGTGAAGGTGGTCCTGGTGTGTGCAGCCCCAGGCCCCGGTCATGGGTCTGTGCCCACCCAGTGCTGACAGATGGCAGAGGATCTAATGCCGTAGACCCACAGTGGCCCCAGGCCCGCAGCGCTCACTCCCAGCGACAGACCATATCCATCATCTCAGCCTCACCGGGGGCCATTATGGAAGCTGCCCTTCAACATTGTGTTGTACACATACAGAGTCCATGTGCCTCGCTGATCCAGTCCACCTTGGCAGGGGTGAACACATACATGCCAATGTGTGTTTATGTGTGTTCACATGACTTGATGAATGTTTACGTTTCTTTTGATAGTTGACAGCAGAGACATGTTCTGTACAGAAGCCAGCTGAGGCCTCAGGATGCCTTGTCTTCCTTTGGTGCTTAACTTCCTGTTTGCTTGTCTGTAACATTGTTAGGGCCAAGTAAATCATCTGTGCTGTCATTATTAAAACAGTCAACAAAGAAGCTTCCTTGCAGGTTTCACACTGCTGGCAGCATTACAGAGGACTACAGATTGTCCCGCTAAGTCTGTTTGGATGACAAAGAATGAAACCTACGCAGTGTGAATGTTGTCTCTGTTTCAAGTGTTGGATTGTGCAAGGAGGAGATACTGACACTGACAGCTTTACAGAATGTTTTATAGACCACATTGTTGTCCCTTAGGACATTTGCTGTTGTGATTTGTTAAAACACAAAATAGTCCTGGGCCAACTGTTGAGCATAAGACACAATTTGTCAAATTCTATTGCTCCCACCTGCGCACTTCTACATTCAGCTGGTTTATACATCACAATCATGAAGGCTGAGATGTCTGCATTATTTTAAAACAATTTTCTCAAAAGCTGGTAGAAAATGTAAGTCATAAACTGGCTTATGTCTGTAACAGTGCCTGTATTTATGATACAGGCAGTGCCATCAGCATATTATATTTTAGTTCTCATCAAAACAGACATGTTCTTGTTTTATCTTCATAATTTATTCTGACAATTGTGGAGAAAACATTAACTACTGTAGGTGATTGAGTTAACAGACACTAAGAGCCTTAGATGAACATCATACTGTAAACATTTAAGATGGCTGATTCGGTTCAGCCATCTCCATCTAATGTAGGATAACATCTAATCACTTCTCGTGCTATAAAGGCATGTTTAGGGATGGAAGGGAGTATAATACAGAGTAACGTCATTACCACAGATTCAATTAAGGTAAACAAATTCCAGGAGGTACAGAAATGAAATAAAGTTATCCGCATGCCAGCAAATGAAGTCCGTTAGGCCATTGGACAAGGGAAAGACAAACATAGAGAAATGGCTTCGGTAAATAAGTATAACCTAAGGAAAGAATAAAAGTGCTTACAGTTTGAATCTAAATGTATTAAAATAGTTTGATAATTTGGGAAATATTTCCTACATGTTTTTGTAATGGGTAAGATGTTCAGTTCTCATGTCTATACCGTGAATATGAAGCTTCAGCCAGTTAGCTTCGCTAAAATGTTTAAAAGGTATTAAAAACTGCCTACAAGCACATCTCAAGTTCCTTGATTAACATAATGACTTGTTTCTTTAATCAGTTTAACACCCTGTGTGTATAAAGGACATGTGGTTTTAAAAGTGATTCTGGGGTTGCCAGACAACCAGCGGAGACTCCTAGAAGCCACTGTGTTTTTATAAAGATTAAACCCCCAAGATGAAACGTGTTAATTAGTGAGCTTTACAATTCCTGGTAGGTGGATTTTGTTACCTTCTAACAGATCCAGGCTAGCTGTCTCTCCTGTTTGCAGTATGTGTGCTAAGTTAGGCTAATTGACTGCTGGCTAAAGCTTTACATTTAGCATATGGACAAAGAACATTGTATAAATGTTTTCCTCTAGTTATTATTTGCATGAAAACAAATAAGCTTTTTAACCCAAAAATATAGATGTATTCCCTTTATAGATGAATAAGATACAATAAATATGATAGCATATTTTTGCCGGCCTACAGCTGAATGACAAGTTTAAATAATATATATTTTTAAACAAAATCAGTATCAATGAATCATATATAAAGGTCCAGTCAAAATTGGAGCACTCTGGCATCACAACACTGCCACAGGAATGGATTAATGAAAGAAAATCTATTTTTCTTGTGAGACTTCATAAATGCTGTCGACTTTCCATTATTAGGATTTATTTTCCACCCTGAATCTTATAACTGCGTCTTTTTTTTCATGTCCACTGAAGGAGAGAATTGCTCATTAGTTCTGAGCAATTGGCCGTTTGTGAATGACACATCCAGACCTGCGGGACAGGAATCTGATTATGATGACACTCTGTGGGAGGTACAGACGACCTGGTCTGTTGTTGTAGGGCAAAGCATCTCTCCCTCTTTCCTTGTCATGTTTTTGCAAATGTTACACATGGGAATTATGCCCACGCAGATTCATCCCAGCAGTGATGGCATCTATATTAGGATGACAAATTTGTTGCTGTCACCTGATGAGGGACTGGGACTGCATGTCAAGACGCAGGTAAAGTCAGGAAGACAGTGATTTGTGGCCGAGCTGCATATTTTTTCTTCTCTTGCTAGCTTTTTCTCAAAACACATGCTTACTGTAGGTTTCCCATCTATTTTTAGTTGTTGAAGAAAGGGAACAAGAAAATGAAGAATTGCATAGTTGCTTTGGACTGAACCGAACAATTTCCCCCCAAAATGACAAGTGTTTGTATGTTAGCATTTAGATAGAAAGCGGCATGATTACAAGCCATTCTCTGGTAATTGACATTCCTCCCTCACTCCCCAGCTTATCCTTAGTGTATGATATTCCTCCAGGGCAGTTCTCTGCTCTCAGGCCAGATTGCTACCAAGGCGAGCTACAGACACGCACAGAGCTCGAGATTCGATTTCAGATAACGAAAATATCAGGGCATCCAGAGGGGAAAATGCTTCAATGCAGACAGATTTCATTTATCTGAGAAATGTGAAAGCAAGGATAAGGGGGAGGGACAAAGTCGACCATGTAATATACTTCGGAGCAGTGTTTATGCATAAGCAAGAGATAGGAGAAATGAGAGAACAAGAGAGGGGAGCGTAGGAGGTAGATGGAGGCAGATAGTGTTATGAATTTCATATTAAGATTTTATCATTTGGAGCATGTAGCTAACAGAAGCCATCCAGCCTTCTCCTGTGTAATCTGCTCCAAGCTGTATCCTACATGGCAGCTGCTCGGCGCTCTCCTTCTGCACCGTGAGGTGACTGCAGCCACTCGTCCATATTGTGCTCACATTATTAACATGTCCTAAGTTATAAATAATAAGCACCCTGCTTAATTAGAAATCCAAATATCAACTGTTATTATTTGTCGCACAGAATGTCTCGAGTCTGGAGTTCAATCGGGGGGTACTCGGCACCCGTCACACATGGTTCTCTCTGAGTCAGTGACTGACATGGTGATAGTGTGACGCAGGCTCTGACTGGGAAATGGACCCTTTCCTCCCACGCAGCCAGACAACTTTCCCGGTTACCTTGGTGCCTGAGCCCAATCACGCACTGTGCTAAGTGTTGCATTTTCATTAAGGCCACGCGGATGACTCTTCTTGGAAAATAAGTTGAACAGGGTCCTGAGGGGGACTCTAGAAACATCTACAAAGCAGCTTAGCAGTGCCTTGAAGCAGCCACATTAAAAGGAGTCCTCACACAGCAGTGTTCTCAGGTCCCAGAGAGGGACCATGTTTAATGAGGGCACAGGCATGTGTACATTTTAAAGCAGCTGTGTTTATTTCATATCCATATTTTCTTGTACAGTACACCTCTGCACTCCTATATCAGCCTACTTGTTCCTTGCAACACTCTCTCAAATGCAGCCTTTCATTTCACACAGCTGTGGCAAACAGGCAATTGACCTGCCTCTGCTCACTTATTCCCAGGCCATATCTTTTTTTTTAAGTATTCATTCGTCTGTCTTTACATTTACAAAGAGAAGTTCATCAAGACATGGTTACATTAGCAACAACCTTCACAAATCGTAGATATACAGTAGCCTTTTTTTGGATATACATACACATTAGAAATGGATTGAGTCCACCATACTGTTGACGCAGAGTATCAATTAAATGTCATTACCAGTCGGCTAGGGCATGTGTTTTTCCATTTGGAACTATGCTTATATCCTAGCACACAGTGTGCTGTGGGTGTACCAGTTGTGTGAAGCATTGCTGCCCTGCAGCACCTTGTTAGACTGTCTGGGGTGCAGTGACTTATCCTCGAGGAACATGTATGGCAAGACGGTACCAGGGGAGGAGATGGTGAGCCTCCGACCATTCTTTTTTTAATGACACTCTGATACTCTGCCTGAGGTCCAGTTGCAGTAACAGCTGCTACGTTTTAAATAAAGCAAAGCTTTTCTCCCAAAAGGGATGGTGTCTCATAACTTAGCAAGTGAAAAACAGCTGTCGACCGTGGCTGGTTTTACACTATGGCATATGCAAGCAGTCAAAACAGAAAGAAGATACCAATTACTCTGAGGTAATTGCCTTTTAGAAATGCCAGCATCTTTTAGCATGATTTTTCAGGTGCTCTGAAGAACAACGCTACCTACAGAATGCACTCAGTGGCCTGCTCTTATCCCTGAGGGAACTACTGACAGCTTTGAACAATAAAGACAGATATGTGACCCTTAAGCTTTTGATGTGTCTTAGATTTAAGTGGGTGGAGTCATAAAAAGACAGATTGTGGTTGAAAGAACAATTTAATTAATCATAAAATCAGGACATGGCAGGATGGTTTTACTGCTTTAAAATAAGCTTATATTAACAAGCATTTTCTAGATAGTTTTTGATAAATGCTTTTTTAAACCATGCCTATAATTTTCACAAATGGTATCAGTTTTTTAATTTGTTTTCACCATTCAGTATTTAGGGCACAACGTACTGACTTTCACCAAGGTCAAACTATGAGAATCATGTTATTGATACAGAACAGAGGTGAAAGATTATATATATTTTTTATCAAGACTTTGCTATAATGCTAGAGCTAAGAGTAACACGCTTTGTTCAGTAAAACAAAATGGACAATACTTGACAGTAACATTTCGACAATTCATTTCCAAAAATAATAAAGCACCTGGTTTTGCTAGATGCTGTTTTGCAGCTTTGTTGATCCATTTGCTGAGAATTGCATAATCTGATGTAAATCCTCTTCAGCGAGGACACAGCAGAGAATATCTACATTTTTACCCAGCTTGTTTCCTATTGTTCAGCACTCACTCTTCTGAGTCGCAGTTGCAATCTGTCGTGCCACCATGAAGCCTCACATCAGAGCCTTTCTTTAATTGTGAAAACGCTCTGAGAATCATGATGTCTTTGAAATTGTAACTTTTGAACATGATAAGCATGTTATATACAGCATATCATCATTTTACGCAGCTGAGCTCCGATAGTGATAATGTCATTCCATTGTGTTCCAGCTCTGCTGAAGTCTGTGTCTGTGTGAGTCCATGATGTTGACAGCTTGGCAGACCAGCAGTAGGAAGAGTGTGGGCGAAGGCCAGGCAACACACTGAGCTGAACTCACAGTCGTATAGGCCCACACGCCTTCATTATTCAGTTGGAATCTATTGAGCATCTGGGACTAAATTATTCATCAACATCGACCTAGTTCCAGGGTGCTAAGTTAGATACTTGGATGTCATCAGGCGTTCTGATAAGAGCTGCTGCTGCAGTGTGATAGCTGCCATGGGTAAATTCATCCCGTGTCTAACCATGAGCTGTTCCTATCGGCCGTCCAATCACCTCCCTCTCACTCTCACTGGCACACTAATGATGTGTTGCTGCAAGAGTGAAGCTTAGGACAACAAACTCCTCCCAATTAGTCTGTGCAGACTACATCTCCGGTCAGATCTGGACACTAGCTGGCCACTATCGCTGTAAATCCGCGCCAGCATGAGAAATAAAGGCACAAGGTTCGACCAGGAACATACCGGTATATAGAATACTGATTCCTCTGCTTTTAGGGTCATTCGGAGCTTTGGCTTCAAGAACCGGTGCCAATTATAGACAAGACATTTCAGCTAGAGCATTGGCCTGAAATGGAGTCCTGACTGTAACCTTGATATGATTTATCTGGGATTATCAGGATATAATGGGGCGAAAGAAACATGAGGACAACACCAAGAACAGTATAAAAAAACCTTGTAGAACTTAGTGATTTTTCTGACATTGAACATGCCTTTCTGGTAAAAAAAAAAAACTTTAAAAGGATGTTACTTTTTCTATCCGCCAAAATGTGTTTTTCTGAGCCCATTAATGGTAGAGTAATACCTTAATACCTTCTATTGAATATGATAATGCACCGGGCATGATATTTCAGCAAACACTGTCTATCTGCAAGTAAAATACATTATACATTATGTTTTTGTTTTATGACTTCTAAACATATTGAAATCACAATTTCACACACATTAAGATTTTTTAACTTTTTCCGTCGGCATATCAGGTGAGATAAGGATAACATTTAATTAAAGAAAACATGATGGATAACATTTTACATAATCAAAGGCGTTTGAAATATTCTCAGTTGGAGATGCTTGTTGCGCAGTCCAACTCGATCAATGATTTTCTTCCTTGTATGGTCATGTCTGAAAATAGTGACAGCCTGTGGGAAAAGCTATTCAGTAGGACGCTTACATTTAATAGATTAATTGCAGGATGAGCATTTGGGTCAGGAACACGAAGGATCAGACATAGTCAGACTGCAGGTTTTCACTTGGTGAAGCAAACTGGAAGGGATTTATGTGTGTGCCAAAAATGTCCTGGCTGATGGAAGCACAGCATTTTTGGCAGTCTAAAAAAGTGCTGGCATTTACACCGGATCCTAATGAGCAGCAGATTACCAACATTGAGTGAAAATGTTTTTTCAATTTTATTATTTTCACCAATCAGTGAAATAACAAGAGAAATCTTTACAAAGCAAGACCTTACATTGGCCCAAACAGGGCTTACAAAGGGTATGAAAACAGAAAAAGCAGAGAGGCAAAAGAAAACATTGAGCATCCTCAGTGGAATACATTACCAGGACAGCAGAGGCATGCTTCGGATAAACCCTTCAGATGCCTTCAGTGTCCTCCTGACTTTCAGCTCGTCTCCAAAGAGACATGGTGTGTGCCAGAGAGCATTCATCAAATTAGACCAGAGAGAAAACAATGTGAAAACCCTCGGCTCTCCGCAGAGACATGCCGACAGGTTATCACAGAGGTGTCTCTTCTTGCTCTCGTGCAGGTGAGCAGCACACAGCCTCCTCTCCAAAGAGCAGTACCNGTGTGTGTTTGTGTGTGAGATTAAAATAGCCCAATTGCTTTTACAATAAATAAACATTGAATGTGTTTAATTGAATAGTAAAGGGGTTAAACGTTAGTGCCACTAACGTTTAACCCCTTTACTATTCAATTAAACACATTCAATGTTTATTTATTGTAAAAGCAATTGGGCTATTTTAATCTCACACACAAACACACACGCACACACCCCCCCACTCTCCGCCTCATTCTGTTTTCATTTACTCGTTCGTTATCTGACCAGCTTCAATCTTGTAGGCTACTCACTTCGTTTCTTGTAGCCCTCGAAAGGGTTTTGGAGGTTTCACATTCTGTGATGCGCGAGCTGATGACGTCACGTCAAGAAGAGTTAACTTTTTTTTTCTCAACTTTGTGTGGAAAAATGCGGGGATTATGCAGCCTTTTGATAAATATGCGGCCTTTTAAAAATCTGCGCCATTTTGCTGATTATGCAGTAAATTCTGCGATCGCAGAATCGCGTTTTTACGGAGGGTCTACTACACATGATTGTAAGGTACTTATCATTGATATAGATTTGCAAAACTGTTTCACAGACTCCAGCTTTGTTATCCACTTTTTTCAATTACCACAGGAGAGCAGTGTGTATGTGAGTCTCACATTGGTGCATACAATGAAGAAATGTAAGGCAATAATTAGCATTCCCATGTGGTTATTTAGCACATTGTATGTACAAACCTATTTGTTTAACATGGCAGCCCTTCCTTTGAAAAGCACATTAATTTACCTGTCCTTAGTCAAAGCTTTTTCTAGCGTGGCATCAACCTTTCTTTCAGTCTATGTCCAGCTCAAGGTTTCCACAGCTCTATCTTATTGAAGCTCAAGCAGAATGTGGGCCCATTTCCCTGTGCAGTGCAAAGTGTTAGGGAGGGCTGCAGATTAAAAAGCCTTCCCCTGGGTGTGCTCACCAGGCTGTTCAATGCTACTCGCCAGGGAGATTCACTACATACATTCTCTTTTATGGCCCTTTCCTTATTCATCATAACACAGCTTCAATTTTATTAACTTCTCCAGCCAAGCATAGATCTTTGCATGTGCCATCAGTCTTTCCCTCTCTATTTCTAGCCTTACAGCAGCCCTCACCACCCAGTTCCCCATGATGCTCATAAGCAAGCGTACACAAGCGCACACTGTTATTCGCTCACATGTATACAGATTTAACACTGGGGAAGGCTGAGTGAATGGACACATTTCTTTCAATCCAGTCTGGTCTTTATCTTCCTGTTGGGTAAGTGTTGTTCCCCAGCTGTGCCTTGCCACAACACAGGCCCAGATAGCCTCCTGCACAAAATATGCTAAACATGGAAAACATCTTTGGTACTAAACTTTATTTTATGCAAAATAAAAGGAGTGAATAAAACTGTGAATACTGAGGAAATGTAGGAAGACTGAATTCAATTGAACTGAAAGACTTCAGTGTGACAGTACAAATGTCAACACTGCACAACTAACAGCAATAATCCTGTCTTTTGTGAATGTTAATTAGTAACTTGTTTGTCCACCAATATTATATGAATGGCTTGGAGACAATAATAATCATGTTTATTCGAAACACGTCAAATGAATACAAGGAAATGTTGTGTTTATATATTTCTTTTTTTTTTATATAATTACAATTGTCTGTGAGATTTCAGAAATGTTTTTCCTGTCTTACACTTAAGTAAATAGACATGTTCAGGAGGTTTTCAATCTTAAACATATGCAAGAGTGCTTAGGCACCATTTCATAGGATTACATTGCATAGAGCATACAACTGCTCCATTTCTCTGTACTTTCCCTGGGCTGTGTAAGGGCTATACCAAACCAGACTGCAAGAAAGTCTAATTTCACTGGTCACAGGCTTCTCCGCCATCAGAAACAGCTATATGTCCTTGAACCAAACAGGGAGGTAGCGTGGCAAGACCACTGAAACTGCTTTGATGACTTGAACAGAGCTTACTAACCGTGGCAGAAACGTGCGCTAAGAAAAAGGTAAAGTGGAGAAGTGGAAGGTGAAGGCATGAGGGCTATCTCAGTGTGAAAAGCTTTGATGGATGAGCTTTACCCATATTGTATCATGAAAAGACAGAAAGTCAGTGAGGCTGATCCTCTAGGTTTTTTAAAGCGATGAAAGTGGACTGTGTTCATGCCTAGGGTATACTGTTCACTGTGCCCTGCATGAGATGAAGAGATAACTCGCAAAGAAAGTGCTTTTGCTATGTTTGTATCGCACTGTTTTTAGCCACGACACTGAATTATTCAGTATTGCAACCCTATAGCAAGACATCTGTAAACCCATTGTATGTGACAAAAAATGTGATAGTGAAAAAAGGGGGATCTGAGTGTTTTTGCTAACACATTTGCTAAATGTACTTCTGATTATAAATGTAGTCAGTGCTACTGTGGATTTAATCTGTCATGTGACAAGGGAGAGTTTTATATGTATCGTCATTCAGCAAGTTGGCCTAGCTAGGTACAAGAAGATCATTGTACAATCTTGCAGGTATCTGACCAATCATTGAGTCCAGAGAATCAGCGTTTTGACTTTTGTCTTCTTGTGCCACCTGGAGGTTGACATTTCAGATTTTGAAAGAAATTCTGACAATTATTGGATGGTTGCAATGAAATGAGGTGGATACAAATACTGTATGCCGCTCCTCAGGCTGGATTGTAATCACTTTGGTTATCCCTTAACTTTTCATCTTGTGCTATTATCATATCATCATTTTAATTTGTCTAATAATACATTTAATGACTACATTTGTCAAAAGTAATGACATTCTCATCAGCAAATTGTCATTTAGGGCACGTTAGCACACTGGGGTTCATATTTGGCCCCAAGCAATGACAAATACGAACCCCAGAGTGCTAACATTCCAGTTTGCTAGCTGAACTACTGAGCCACCATAACAAACTTCACCTGTTGGCCGAGAATGTAATATGTGCGTAATCTGGTCTCATTTATATGAAGAGAAACAAAACATGCAAAGGGCTATGCTATGCTTCTCATTAAAGATGCATGAGTTGCCATGAGCTATCTTATCCCCAAAAAGAATTCTTCACAAAGACACATTCATCATCAAGGTGCTGTCCAGATCATAATGAGAAAAGCCAAAACGGAGAACAAACTGTCGTCTTTAGTTGTCCGATTCCCAGCATATGCTGCCGCTCCTGTCGACACACCTGCTGCTTAAAAGAGAGCCAATTTATTTCCCCAGAAGGATGGACCACTTGTGACATTTGGCAATGGAGCATCAGACGTTTCATCCAACCCGTTCCAGACACACAAACAGAACCGCAAACACTGAGAAGGTGGTAGTCAAGGTGGCATTGTCACCTGAGAAGCTAAGTAGGCTGCCTTATAAATGCTACATTATAATATGTACCGGTAATGACTTGTGGTGTCCCGATATAACCACTCTCACCCACTTATGTTGTGGTGCCAGTTTAGGTGCACACATGACAAAACACACATCCACACGCAGGCATTACTGTTGTATTGAAACATCCCACTGTATGAGTCCTTTAAATAAATACTTCCCTTGTTGGCTTCCTATGTGATATTGCAGTTGGTTGAATGGCCCACACAATATTTACCTTACAGCCAGGAATTGTTACTGAACGCTACTGAAAGCAATGGGCTGTTTTGCCAAAAGCTGTTAGGGAGAGATCTGCTTTCACTGTGAAAAAATGGGCTACAAGGATGCCAATTCAAATCACAAAGATTTCCAATTCACAGCATTGTACTGGCAGAAGGGCTTGTCTATTCAGCAAGATGAGGCACAATTACATTTCATTCATTTCCTGCATAGGAAATTGTCAAGCAAATTAGAAGTATTTCAGCTGGGGTTCATTCAGTGTTCAGTATAGCTCACCGTCCATCTGCACAGATAGCTTTTTCTCTCGTGTCTGAGCGATTGCAAACATACAAATTAAATACTATTTTGGATTTGGTCCTTGAAATAATACTGATTTGACATTAAAAAACGATCTAACCTAAATGACAGTATCAACATCAGGTAAACATCTAAAGTCCTATAACAGGTCTAAGAAAGTCCTTATTTTGCTTTACTGTTGAAATGACAGCATAGCGTGAGTAGCAAGGAACCAAAAAGGTATGCATCTGTATACCAAATGCAAGGGAGTGCACATATACTGTACATGTCTTACCTAGCCAATATTCAAGCATGCAAAACAGTTTGTTTCAGTGTGTGCAAGGAAGTTATTATGCTGACCCAATGCAACGGTCATAGGGCTAAAATGAGCATGGAATCTGGAAATAGGGCGGGATGAATTATAAAAAGGGATTATTGTGCCAGGCGTTCTGAATGCAAGTCGTATAACATGCTTCTATTAGTAGGGCCATCCAGGTGTAACACGGCCATGAAGGCTGGATATCCAAGTAGTGGGGGAGCGCCCAAGCCTTGTTATGGGGAGAGCAAATTCCAACCCAGTCTACAAAACATTAATCTGTGTGACACTTTATATCTCTCTGTGTATTTGGGCATGTAGCTGATAGTGTGTGCAGATGAGTGAGGGAGAAAGAGCCAAGTGTGTGCGAGGCATGCTTCGCTGGCACAGGGTTCCTCAAGGTCTGCACATGCATGTGCATTTCCATACTTAGCTATAGGGCACTTGGTGATTTGATGTAATCACGTTATCATGGTAATGGAAATTGGATTTAATTTTCTCTTTTCAGCAGTGGCACGTTGATTCACCCTCTCTTCAGCTTGGAGCAGAAAATTGACATTAACTGATTCCTTGCTGACTGCCCCTCATCCAGCCCATAAATACAGATCTTATTTGTAGAGGCGGTAAAATTGTTTAATTAAAAACAATAATTCACTACAGGTCGTTATGTGCTGCTAATTAAGCAGAGTTGACAGAGCAAGGTGTGTGTGGTCGGGAGGCGGTAACAGGGGATAAATTGCTTTGTAGTCATTACACTGACAATGTGGAGGGCATGTAGGAGTCAGTGTTCTGGTCTGTGCCAGACTGAGGAAGCTACTTAAAGATTAATGAAGAACACACCTTGACTAATGTTGGAATGTACAGGCAAACTGAGTTGCTTCCCCAAAACATTTCTTTAAAAAAAAAGAGAACGCTCTGGCGTCACATTTAACAGATGTAAAAGAAGAATTACCAAACAGCTTCCTTTCTCACATTTATACTCCTTTACCCTTCAACAAGGAGCAAGAAGTGCAATTTTGTAAATCCGCAGAGAAGATCAAAGTACTACCATGTTCTAATGGCTGCCACCCACCAGCCTCTACTGTGGTGGAAAGCACCATCAGCAGAGTGTGTCTAAGAAGAGCCAAGACAGCCTGATTAATCTTCTAATAGTTCCAAAGAGAGATAAGGACAGATACTGTAGACGCAGCAGCGGAGAAGGAAAGTGACAGAATAAGTTGCAATTCAGTCACTGTAATACACCCTATGTTCCAGAAAAGAAAGTGAAAAGAAGACACGCAACGGGGAAAGCTGATGGAAATGGATAGTTTCGTCTTTGTTGTGACTCTTACACATTTTAGCCTTTGAAATGATGAGGCTCCTCTGTAAGATGGCTGCCTCACTGCAGCACCGTCTCCTGCTCTCCTACTTGCTTGTCTCTCTTTGACAAACTCCTCATTCTGTTCGACATGACGTTAATAACTATCAAATGGATTTCATAAATATGTGAAATAAAGATCAACATATGTGATAAAAGGGAAGTCAAGCATTTCTGTTTGGAAAATGGACATATCTGCCATGGAGACTGTCATCTTTGAGAAGTTGGTAGAATTCAGACGGGAGGCAAATTGAAACAATGACAGTGCATGCTAAGACTGGCAATTCAACAATTTGCTGGGAGATTGAGCCAACACCTGAGAGCAGTTTGTTCTAACACAATGAACATGAGTGGCAAATCTTTGGATTTACTTGAGTGAAGCAAAACCTGATATGACTTTTCTTTTTTCACAAAAATTAAGCAACATAATACCTAATACAGCTGATTTACTATTCATCTATTTTAGCGAAAAACATCCAAACTCAATTCACAACCTTTAAAGAAGGCATGTTCCAAAGGGCTTCCTGTCTATATTGCAAACTGGGGGGAATACCATTTATACAACTGCCTGAGGTAATATATATGAAAAAGAATACAAAAGGAAGCATTGTCAAAAACATAATAAAGTGAATCTGAGCGAAGACTAGCAGTACGCACAGCAGAATGTGAGAATTAACTGCTTCGAAAACAAGCTTACATATTACACAGATCATTCCCTCTTCGGTTGCGCTTGCATTAATACATATGATTATAGTGGGCACATGGAAAATAGGCATTATGCTTGTTTATACAGCTTGCATTACCATAATCATTTCTCTAGCCTGTGTTGGATGTCAACAAGTATTATGCCGGGGAGATGTGACAGAGAATACGTTGACTTGAAATCACGTCTTCTCCTCTGGCTCCCTGTGGTCTGATGGGGACAAAAGGAGGAATGGGATAGGTTGAGATGAAAGGTTTGGACTAGTCCTGCATAGACAGACCTATCTCTACAGCGCTTTGTCAGAGCTGGAGAAAAGTCTGGCTTCACATGTTATCATTACGGTATAGGGGTGAAACCGGGTTTGTATTTCTTTAGACCAATCAAAGTGCTAAGTACCAGATACAGCAACAATACCCTTGCACAATATATTGCAGTAGAGGAGTGAAACCGGGTATACGTGGCAAATGGCATGCTTATTGCCACAGTCTACATTCGGTCAGTAAGGCTAAGGCTAGAACAGCTACCAGGTATGCTTTTTGAAATACTGCCAGTGATGCTTCAGGGTTTCATAACCCACCAAATTATTACACAAAACACCCTTATTTTAGCTGAGCAATTACAGTATAACTACATGTAGGAGTTCCTAGAACAGAGCTGTTTATCACCATCTTTGATTTGGTTTTTGGTGGTCAAAATATTTGATTTTGGTTCAGGTTGAAGGGTCCAAAATGCTTCTTCTTCCATCAGAATGAATATACTGTACACTCAGAGTTTGGGACACAGAGATGGGACTGATTCCGAGGTTACAGGAAAACATTTATAATAATGCTCACTTCTTCCATAAATTATCGTTATATTCAGCAATAGTTGGTACTAGGTTAGAAAAACCCCCATGAAAGTGTGCACCATTTTCAATAAGCATGTGAGAAAACGTATCTGCAGCATCACAGCAGAGTTTTACTGAAAACTTAGAGGAACAACAGTGAGAGTGCACACTACACGTTTGATTCCCATATCAAGCTGTTGTGTTGAGTTATTGCCCGTCATGCTCAAGGCAGGAGTATGGAGCGCTGTATTGAACGGTCCCTCTGCTTGACAAACAGAGGAAGTGCTATGAATGACTGTCGGCTTTTCAGTTTGTCTATGACAGCGTCTGTCTTCATTCAGCGCTCTTAAATTGGCTTCGGAACCGATTGGAAATGGTTCTTTTATTATACACCTCACATAACTCCCCCTCTCATCAATGCCGGGCCATCTTTTATCTGGGAGATGACGTTTCCATTAGAGTCTGCCAACCTCTTACTGCTGCTCTGTGAGTTGTGGTGCTGGGCGAGAGCATTGTTAACCAACACAACAACACCAGGATCTCATTGGCTGTGCCGTACACTAGCTCGGTCGTGGAAAGGCAGTTCATCAGATGGTTGCTCATCCAGAACACACATAGGAGCAGGCACATAGACTCTCGCAGTATCTCTATCGCCCTCTTTTACTCTCCTTCTCATTCTTTCACTAGCAAAAAAAAGAAAAGAATCAAAGATCTGAGAAAGTCAGACAACTGAGAGACAGGACTTGGCCATAGGGAGTGTGCCTGTCAGCTCTTCCTCAACAGTTTCAGTATTTCATCAAAAGGTATGAGGGACCCATAAGGTTCAGATGCCAATCTGGGAACATTTCAGTCCCCACACACAGAACCGGGGATCTTTCAAAGACTGAAGCCTAGTAGCTCCCTCCCCTGCATGTTACTGTCTTCATTAACTTTGTCTCTGGACGCAGCTCACGTTAGCAATCAGGCCCTTTTTCAAGAAATCAGGGTAGCTTCGAAGCAACAGGACACACAGAGCGAGGGTGCTTTTTTTAGGGCTGTGTCGACCATGCCCGGTGACATTGTTGGAGCTAATGAGGATGTGGCTGTGCCCGGTGTGTGCGGGTCGGCTGAGACATACGCTCCGGTCCCACTCTGGGAGTTCTAATTAGATCTACATTATCAGAATGTCTGTCCGCATTGGCCCGATCAGCTACAGTTTGGATGCATCATAAATCATCAGTCTAAGTGATCACTAAAGATCTGTATTCTGTCTGTACTGTGCGTGAGGCATTTCATTCATACGAGGCCAATGTTAACCCCGGACAAACTCAAATGTAATTATTACTCTGATGACTTGCACCTCCCACATATTTTCTGTTGTTTTCATTTCTTCCATTTGTTGGTATCCTTTGCATTACTTGAGGTGGCTGGGCTAACACAGCCTTTCCTCAATCATGATCTCATCAGGCTCAACTCCTTGACCTTTGCGCTTTGCTGTAAATGTCAGCTGTCTTTATGAGCCTATGATGAGTTTATCGAGCAATTCACACTCTCTGCCACACACACAAGAGCGCTCAGACTACACCCGCATGTACACCCAGCCATAGGATCTGTCCTTCCCAGCCAACAATAACTCTGATTTCTAGGTGTCGATGGAAAATTCATGGTGCTCAGCTCTGGCAAGCAGCACAAGTGCGGCTGCTCACCATCTTCAACAGGACCACCAAAGATAAATCAAGATTTCATGGGGACTGAAATGGCTTCCTGCAAAGCCTTAAGGACCTGGCAGGCTTTACCGACAGTCTGTTCTATAATAGAAGTCTTTGAACATCTGAAACTTAAACAGGTAGCCATTATTGTAATGGTGAAGTGTAGTAAAGTCTATATTGTTTTCGTCCACAATGTGACACAAAATGGGCCAACAACGTGCCATTAAATTTGGCCAACGAAACTCTTACCATATGCTGGAGTACTAATAAGAACTAAACCTCTCCTGACTAAGCGATCGTCCAGAGTTGTGGTTTAAAACGGTGAGGACGATCACGCCAGGGAGGCAAGCACTACTGCCATGATTATAAATGTTGCGCATTATGTCTGCATGGACGTCTGTGTCCGCGCAGGCCTGCAACTCCTCCTAGTGGAGCACAGAGCAGAAGGAGGGAAGAGGAAGCAGCTATAACAAGCCTTTCCTGAACACTTCCATTTCAATCTTTTTATCGGTTTTGTTGTTGACTGTAATGTAACCCATTGGAATAAAGGGCAATGAAAAAAAATCAGAAAGAGGAGCACTTGGAGGAGTACAAAACCCACCCCCCCCCACACACACACACACACACACACACACACACAAACACACACACACACACACACACTACGACGACGTCGACGAACGACAACGAACGAGGACACGACACGTCTATGAACGTGTTGTTCGAGGGCCATAAAAGTAGCAACACATGGTCACAGAGGTTCCGAGGCTGTACCTGATAATGTGC